CTATGAATTAAGGAGAGAATGAATGAATGAATGAATAAGTGGAAGAAAGAAAAAACAAATGAATGAAAGAATGAATAAATGAAGATATACAGGGAGGGAGAACCGAAGGAATTAAATGAAGAACGAATAAATTACTAAATTAATGCATGAAAAAAGGTACAAACAGATAAATAAATTAACTGATTAAAGTACGAGTGAATTACCAGTGAGGCTGCATCTAACCAAAAGTCGAAACGATAACTTCTATTAAATTAGCTTTTATTTTATTTGGTGATCAACAGCGTTCAAAGTGTTGAGGCACCACCCTTGGCACCTTAACATTCTAACAGTCGTAACATCGTTTAGCTTTTTTTGCTCATTCTGTTGTGATTTCCCTTATATCATTCTTATTACCTTTATTTTTAATGATTTATCTGTGAATGTCGAACTTCCATGGACGTTGAGCATTCGTATTCCTGTCATCAACATCACCATCCCGTAGTAGACGTAGTGAACCACTGCGTCAACGAGCAAAATGTTTTTGATCCACTGCATTGACGTGCTTAGGACCAAAAGCCAGACGATGTAGTTTAAGGTGACACTACTGCTTCTTGGAGCAGCGGAAATGCAGGTTGTGTCACCGTAGCCACTTTATATTAATGCAAGCAGGTGCCTACTCTTGCGCATATGAAACCGTTATTGGAATATTACAGAGGTGACCTCGTCTGCTGATTGGCTGAACAGTGGCAGGGGCTTCCCAGCTACCGAGTTGTTCTGACCCTCTTAAAGATTTTATATTTATTCATCAGAGCTTTTTTGGCTGATTGAGAGATTCACGATAGGCCTTCATGACCACCGTAACAATTAAAAGTGAATTATCCCCTCCCTACCTCATTCTGCTGACTTATCCCTTACTATGATCATTGTCCATTTCCTGTTATGTGGATAAGAAGATAGTTTTTAGGGAGCAAAAAGGTACCGTCAGAAAGCCATGAAAGAAGCGCATGCAAGCTTCGTAAGTTCGTGTTTCGAATTATGCAGAGACAGCCTTCACTCACAACAACCACAGTCTAAACCAGCAATGTATCCAATCCTGCAGTAAGTCCGTTCAGTACCAACTAAATCACAATAGTACCATTGTGTGATTAGGTGAAGAACTATATTTGCAGAACGATAAATAGGCATGGTTTAGCTGCAATGTCATCGACCTCTGGAATCAGTGTTCTTCTAAATCAAACTTACTGTGCCATCTTTAAGTTCCGTTGCGGATACTGATGACCAACGTATAGGCGACCGATCGTGAAAGCCAACACTTCTCTAAGGTCGGTTAAGCAGGCCATTTCTGAATGCCCCAATAAGCTGGGTGTGAGAAATGGCGTGAGGTTATCAATGGCGAGAAACACAAGATAATTAACCATGCTGACGTTAAATCTTCGATTGTCGTGCGCTTCCCAATACGCAATGAAAGTATTAAGTGCATCAATCGTTTCCGGGTAAGTCACGATGATTTTCATGCCTCCAAGGTCATACTAAAACGAAAATAAAACCAAGTAATATTTTCCATCGCACAATTTAATGATTCAATATACCGTGTCCGAGAGGTTAAACAACGCCCTGATGAAATCATTCCAACCAATCGCTGGCCATCGGGCTTTCATTTCGTCAACACTGAATGCGTTGTAAAGTTTGTCATAGTTCGCTGTTTCATGAAAACTGTTTTCAATCCGTTCTGCCATCTCCTTAATAATGTTCAGGAAGCTTCTGACGTCACGATCAAGATGGTGGTTCCTCCAATCTACGTGTTTATCCAAAGTCCTCGCTAGTTGCAGCATGTACGTTTGCAAACTGCTGTCTGCAATCTGTTGAAGAGGTAAGCGAGGAGGATGCAGGTACAGAACATTTCGGCTGACGTTTTTCCAGTCGACGTTCACCGTCCAGTTGAACAACGACGCCACGCCGTAGCGATTACCAAGTTTTCCCATCATACTGTATATGGTTTCCGGAGGAGTAGGCGGTGACCAATCGCTATTCATCAGCGGCCATCCTCCTAGAGTGTTTATTCTTTTCATAATGGTGCTTTTCGCAAAGTCTGAAGAAATATTATTGGTCTGTAGACAGCTCCTATAAAAAAAACGTTTCAATCAAGTTTCAGGTTGGACTTTTATCAGGCATCAACAGAAGTGGTCAGCAAAGCCTTTTACACCTTTAACTTTCTCCCTGCAACAACAACTGATGGGCATAAGATGTTTGAAGCAGAGGACAAACAACCTCAATTTTAACCAGCGACGATGGACGATGTAACAAACGAACAACTACAGATTCGAATATTTTATAGAATTCATTGATTTGACATTGAATTGTCGTAGATTCGATGGTTTGCCACAAACCAGTGGACTAACGTTGGTATTTATAATAAATTTATATTAAACCTGAAAACAAATCAACCAAGAAAAGGCACTTGTTCAAAGCAGTTCAAACAATCATTTTGCTGAACTGTCGGCGATTTCAATAAAGATATCAATCGTCAGTCTGCGTTTATGATTTAAGGAATAAATTGACACATACCGAAAATGCAAACGCAGAATCGATATTATACATACACTTTTACTATGAAGCCTTAGAGCGAACATCACACCATTCAAATATCCAAAGATCGCGCGTTTGGTTCGTGTTTTGGTAGTCATATAAAGAACAAAATAAAGCATAATTTATTTATACACACCGTAAACAATTTTGCGGTAGGATTGTTGACCGGTGAAGACGTTTTGGCCGATGTCTTAAAAGACTATCTTCAAGGCAAGAGGTAGGTTAGCTTACTGCCCTCTAGGCTACTAACGTGTGAACTGCTGAGGACATGACGGACTACCGAAGTCAACCAATCTCTCTGATTTGAAAAATGTTCGTGAGACTCAGGCCGACATTTCGAAACTAATCAATCATCTGTGCAATTATGTTATTCACACGGTATAAACATAAACACTTGTTTGTTTTGTTTGCAGGACTCCAATAAATGCATATGCTTGCGAACGAAAATTTGATTTATGAATTTGCACCGCACCCTTGTCTCTTAAACCAATAGGGTTCCACGTGTAGGCAAACCATGACTGTAAAATACTATAACTCACTGTGATAGTGTCGGTTCCTGGATCATTGGTGATGAGCAAAGTGCTGTTCGTTCAATAGATTCATGTGAAATATGTCCAGTGTTGCAAACGCACAAATGCCATTGATTCGTGTCCTGTTGAACTACAAGTGATACAATTAGGAGTTACGGGCAGTGTAATACACGGTTATTTTGAGCAGCTTGTTTTTCAGAATATTCCAGCTATGAAGCTATATTTTACAATTCAAGTAATGCCCGTGATGCTTCCATGAAGCCCTGCCAATGGCAATTGAACACTACTGAAACATGCATTAACGGAGGGGCTTTACCCCACAAATTTTCTGCAAAGAGTGTAGATCAAGAGAACCTATGAAGTGGTAAATTACAACGGGATGTGAACTCGTGATTCGCTGTGGTAGCCACGACTCTCCCTGCTGAGAATCCTGAAACGATTGATTAACAATGCTGTGTTCACAAGGCTGACGTAGTTCCTCCTTTATTCAAGGCAACCTCCCTTGAAGAAGAACTCCGTGTTGCGACAAGGAGTCAATAAACATGGATGGAAGGCGGCATCTTTTGTTCCAGTCACTGAGTCAAGACTCTAAACTGTTTTTAAACATATCCATTCATGACCAGTATGAATTCAATCGATCGCTAACCTGTAAATCTGGACGGTTGCCTTCAGCGAAGCCAGTGCCTGAGGATTTCCAACGTCGAAAGTATTCAGCGCATTGATAACCCTTTCATTAACGGCCTTCGTTAGCATTGCAAAGGTGCTGCTGGCTTTGGTTTCTCCAGCCTTAGCCGCTGCCAGGAATTTTCCACAAGCATATGTATAAAAGTTTATGCACTGAAACTGTGATTCATTGTCGATGCTTCCAAGTAGCATTTCGGCTACTTCCGGTAGGTCATGATCTTCTGCTAAACAAAAAATTGAAATTAACACCATCTCATTTCATTCTTCAGATAGCTGTTAACTTTCCAAGTCCGTTAAAAACCTTCGTTGTGAAAACGATTGATATTTTCTACATAATTTCCTTTACGCTAATAACTGGCAATAATTATGTGAATCGTTAATGACGTCGTTGTTGTCAACATCATCTGGGGTATTAAGGTCGATGACTGAGTATCCATATTAATGACGCTCCTGTGGCCTTCCAGGAGGAAAGTGGCTTTGGATAAGTCTCCATTCCCTCTTTGGATGGTTCTGTCAAACGGCAACAGATGCTTATCACTGATTTTATCAAACAGCATTCTCAGGCCAGTTATCTTTGGCCTTCTGTTTTTCATTCAAAGAAACCATTGCACTCTAAGAATGTTCCGTCAAATCAGAAGCTTCTCAGCAGTCGAGGAATGTTGCTGGCAGGGTATTCGGAATCTCCTGTTCTTTTCGACGATTTTCTTTAGTACTGTGGTGTTTTCAATACACAAGAGTACAGCTTCAGTTACGTAAACGGCTATTGTTAGCTCTTTAACTTGTTGAACATGTTAAGCTCATTGGAAGCCTATGAAGCTTATGACCTTAGCAGCAGTCGAGATAAAGTTGCGCATTTTTTAAAGGTAGTTCCATTCTGAATTAGAAGAAAAGCAGCATTGGCCAGCCTTAACCGCAAAAGAAAATTCGACCGCTCTAGCTGCTATGACTTATGGCACTGATTGTTAGTGTACTACTGATGTTGAGGAAAACAAACTCATGATCACTCAGAGAGCGATGCTGCGAAGAGTGCGCACGGTTTCGATCACGTTCCAGAAATTCAACAACGGACGGGATTACAACTGACGTGATTTTTGTCTTTCACAATGCCAAGAGCTTATGTGCCGGGCATGAGGCTCGTCTAAGAGACACACGGGGCGTCAATAATGAATAACTGCGCTCCATTGAATCACCATAAGGAATCTGTCGTCTGAGGACACTTTGGAATAATCTGCTGGCCAAATTATTTGGTCAGAGTTGGATGCAGAAAGCGGAAAATGGAGGGGGGCATCACAGGGGCGCTGACCCGCTTTAATGGCATACCAATTGTAAGGACAAATCAGATGACGGATTTCGCATCCTTTTGAGCATTTGTATTTCATGAATCAGACTATGCTTAAATCCTTTGAAGACGGAAGAGAAAAAGCTGATTAATCGATTGCCAGAGTAAATCCAGGCGCTGAGTAGGTGTGTGGCCCTGTCACGGTCTAAATATTGGTGAACTGGAACTGATCCGACGGCCTAAGCCGTCTTAACATAAGATATTCAAATCACAAACTCAAACGGCTTGATAGATTCTGCCGTTTGTGTTTATTTCAAAACGGGAATCGCTACAACTGCGTCAGAATTTCTGCCATCTAAGCCAAAACCAAATGTGCTCTCTTAAGTTATTTAAAAAATAAATGTTTTTTGTATTGCCAACATATATTCGATTCTGTATGAGAATTAGGTGCTGATGAAAGGAGTATCACCATCTTGCTTGCAGTCAGTAATAAAAGGTAGGAAAGGATTCTAGGCACCATCCATTTTATATTTTTCTACCGGATATCTTAGTGAACTCTTTGACCCAACGGATGCAAGGTGGACAGGAAATAAGTGACTTATGAATATCGTTCAAAGTTTTTCAGACTATCTTCTCCGACATACATACATACATACATAGTTTTCACAAGGACGCTGATAACATAAATAAAAAAATAGTACGTAATACATAATACATACTTAAATAATCTACGGTCAGCGAGCCAATGTTATTTTTCCTTTGTAACGGATTATAGTGTCCGTAAAATCTATCTGTATTTATCATGTATTTATTTATGTAGAATTTATCTGTAAAATCCTTACCACACTGAATATATATGTTCAACTGTTAAAGTTAATTGCATTAAATCATGCGTTTTGATAGAGTAGAATAATATTAAATTAATTTTGTAAATTTTACCTGTCGTTATAGATGATGGCTCTGCAGTCGGTGTTGTTCTGCACGTCGTTCGAGTAGTCGCTAGAAGAAGTATATATTGAAATTTATTATTTTGTTTTAATTGATTGATTTCACAATTAATTTTTGCTCTTGAATATATTTCATGACGCTAAATGTTCAATTAACACTGAGAGACAAACCTTATTGCCACACTTCTTACCTTGATTCTCCTTTCTTGAGCTTATATTATGCAAAAATCAGAGAGAACATTAAAATACGGGTTCATTGTTTTCACAAATAGATCAGATTCGTTGATCGGACCTGCCGAGCTATGTTCATAATGAAAAGTAAAGCTCCATTATTAGTAATGAGCTGTGATATTGTATGGCTACGTATGGCAATTCTACATCTACAGATTGACAAAGGAAGAACAATAAAAGTAATGTAAGCTTTCAGCTTAGAAGAAGAAGAAGAAGAAGAAGTAGAGATCGAGCAATTGCATGAGAAATCAGAAGGGCCAATGGAGTAGAAGACTACATTCACGGTAACGCAATAGTTGAAAAAGAATTAAAGACACATTGGTATTTATACTCAAATACGGAAAAGGCGAAAGAAATTATCGATGAGACCGTTTTGCAACTTTTGCTGAAAGCATCCATCTCCACGTCATGAAAGTGTGAAGAAAGAAAGAGTGAAGAGTGAAAGCAAGAGTGAACATGGAGAACCCCAGACAAAAAGCCTTCAATCAAATCGACTACTTACTGTCGAAAGAGAAACGAATCATATCAGATGTGTCGATGTACAAGAGAACATTCCTGCTCAAATTCAGACCATACGAAGAGAGGATTTAAAAAGTTCAAATATCACCACTTAGTGAAAACTGCTATCCGATCCGGAGTAGCTGTCATGAATGAATCTTGAAATGAGCATCAGAAGGGATACGGATGTGGATTAGGAAAATTCTCAACACTGTCGCCAAAACAACAGCTGAACTGCAAAGTATCGAGAAAACAATGCCCTGGTCCTTCAAAAAGGCAGGCAATGACTAGAAGAGCTTACTAAGGGTCGAAGGAAAACTGAAGAGAATGGAGGAAGTATTGGGAAGAATACAGTAATTACAAGAGAATACGAATAAGAGAGGTCACGAAACGGAACAAAGGCCAGCAAGCGGTGTGACAGGATACTCGTACAAAACAACGGCTTCAGAGTGCTCTGAAAGGTGAAGGAGAGGCAAAAAGTATTAGTCGCTATCCGAAGAACCTGATCAGCACAAAGTGCTACAGCAACCTGTATTTTTCCAATGTAAGCGTGAAGATGCTGGTCCCGAAGTTACGAGTCAAAATCCAATGCAAAACATCCAAAAATGGCATATGTCCGGGCAAAGACGATGATAAACCATATAAAACCAGAATATCATACAGCAGAAAGAGCATTCTTGTTCAAGATTCGTAGCAACGTTGTATGGAATACATCACGTCGAACAAGATGCCTAAAGTGTGGGAAACATCAAAAACGATTCCTCATTTCTTCTTACGATAGGCACCTCTGAAGACCTCAAGAACTTTATATCAATTACACTCCTGTAACAAATCTGAAACACCTTTACTTGCATAATTCCCAACCGTATTCGTAAGAACTCAAATTAGCCACAAGTTGGGAAGAGGTCGGTTTTCGAACCGGGTTTTCTGCCATCGCCCATTGAACTTGTACATGTCATCGAATTTTTATAGTTTCCTCAACGAGCACAATGATTCAAGGGGTTGTGAAACGTCATTTAACTGCTTGTGACATAATGAGCAACATTTCTGTCCACTTACAGTGAACACAACGTGTTTAGTAGTGTGCAGAAGAGTAAAACAGCGTCATCCTATATGGCGCTATTTTTGGCCCACTTAGGAAAAGGTGCCTCGACCAAGCAGTTCATAAAGAAAGACTGTCACTCATGGTAGTCATTATTAAAACACACAATCATTTTCACTTCGGTTACTAAGTATCAACGGCACAAACATACCCTAATCTACTAAAGCGCCATTTTTGCGAGTTTCTATATGATGGTGTTTGTGAAAGCCAACCATACCTGTATTTCGTTGTTTCTACTTTGTCATCGCAATCTGAGGCGAACAGAACTCAAACCCAAGAGTAATCCAGATTTATCATGTCTGACCACTTCAAACTGACATGGTATGATTGAGAGATAGCTGTATTTTGTTACAATGAATAAATCAATAAAGGGCATTATCCCTTTATAGGCGTGAGATCATTTTAGCGCCATTGCACAAGAGCAGTGCTTGTACGATTTGCAACTAAGGAGCAAAGCAGTTATTTGCCTAGGATGTAGAGTATGGAGAGAGCTGTGTTTTGTCCAACGACACGCTTTCATTCGATATGTTTAAGATACCTTGAGGAGTTGAATTTGAGGTGGTTGGAGTCCTCAGTTGATGGAGTAGCAGACTGGTCACAACAACTATGACGATGACCAACACCGAAATCGTAACAGCCAGAAACACTTTGACAATGCAGCGGTGCTGTTGCCTTCGAAACTCCATTGCGCCGGTACGTACTAAAGGCTGCTGTTATGTAGTGCTGTTTATACGTTGAAGTAGAAGGCAGCAGGTACCGCTGATTGTTACTCTTTCCGATAATGACGCAATTTTTGTTTACAGCGTTGTTTACTTTACCGATTATACCGGTGTAAAGCCTTTGATAAGATGCAAATGGTGGCTGTTCTTTTGCTGTTCCTACTAAAGCTCATCCGGGGCTTTCTACTCCAACTTGAGCGCCACAAACGTTTTTTTGTAACGTCAGCATTCGCCTTGACGCACGATATTATGAATCAGCGTAAACTAAAGTCATTTCTTTAGCTATAAGTCGTACCCCCTATTGGATTAATCCCTTATGAATCATTATTCATCTTAAATTACTCCATGGCACTCTCAGATGTGCATGAACATACTGTATATACAGCAGTCTTCTATTTTCAAGGAGTGTCAACAGGTTCTTTTTGGTTTCCCCTAGATGATTATCAGTCTGAATAGCAGTCTTAATAGGCATTGTCTTCAGGCAGTGTGGTCATACGTTTCGCCCATTCTATTAAGATTACACCAAAGCATCATGCAGTCCCTGCTGCTTGTTTCTACCCATTTCTTGGCTGTTCAAACCGAAACAACTTGATATGGATTCATTGTTCAAAAATTAGCATTTCAGGGAATTATTCGGTTTCGAACCCGGTAGCTTAAAAGTTCAATGCAGACCGGTCACTCTAACCATACAATCCAATACTATGATCTTCTCCAGAGGCAAGAGAGTTTCATGCAAAATTGCCTGCTAGTTTTCAGTGATGCTTACAGTTTCTTGCTGCTTGTGCTACTAAGGAAGATCGTCATTTGGTTCTTGGTCATTTTCGCCCTTTAATTTGCTCAACCACCGCCAGCTGGATGTATTTACTGGTCAGAAACCAGAAATGTATGTTAAACGCCTATCGGCTGGTTTAATGGTGAATGGTGGTCACCTAATCCTGCCAATAGAGTTATGACTTAGACTGCCTTTTTTCTTAGGACAGATATTTTTTGCACAGCTAATGATTGCCACATTTCATGAACTTCTGATAAGCTAAGACGATTATTACAGTGTACAAAGAAAACGCTCATCACATTAGTTCGCCTAACGTGCCAGTTCTGGTTTGGACTTTGCCGGCCTCCAAAGAAAGGCGTGTCTAATAAGCCATCATTTGCTTCTTTTCTGAAACAATGATAGCGATTGGCACTCGATTCAGAATCATAAAAAACTTCGCGACTGAAACAAAAACACCTATAAATCGGTTATATCAGTAACTCGCCTTCGATGATCGCTTATCCATTCGAGTCTGGTGGCCAGCAGCGTCAGACAGTGTCTGTGAAACTTTACTGATTCTGTGCCAATGCCTGAATTTCAGACAGTTACTTGCTGCTCGTCATTTTTCGCTGTTACCGGGCTCACCTGTCAGTTGTCTTTCTTCTTCTGGGAGATCCTCATGACATCCCAAACCACAAACAGCTTTGATGTCTTATCAGTCTAGAGAAACACATACAGCATACTAAGTCTTTCTCGGAAGTCTAATCCCTGGGCCATGATTAGACGCATGACGACAGCGATTAGTGTCATGAAGCTTACCTCAGCCGCTGGTAAACGAAATCGATGTTTTTCGGTCATGGCCGACGATTCATTGCCATATGAGAGTATGGGAAAGAAGATCGACTTGAAGAAAAAAATGCTTCGTCTTCAGACTCAGCTTTGCTTTGGTTCCTCACAAATCATGCAGGAAGTCGCATCCGCAAGGAACAATCTAACTGGCTGGTCGATTTCTTCTTCCCATCTCCCATTACCTGTAAACCCCATTGTGAGGCAGATGAACTCGTCATCTGTTTCGTTGTTTTTCCGTTTATCTGAAGAGCATTCATCTCCTGGTCTTAAGCACCTTCATAAGCATGCTCTCCACCCCCCGTTCTACTGGAACCATTGGGTAGTGCACTCTAGATGAGTTTTGCAAGATGCCTATGAAACATAGTTATTTGCTGACATAAGGCGATTATGTTGCCATGTTATTTCTGGGTATAGTCGGTAAAACGTTCTGACATGCAGGCAGTTTTCTTGTTTCGAATTACCATTCGACAATGAATGCTTATATACTCCAAAATGCAGCTTGGATAGCCACTCTGTCGATTACGAAATGGCTATCAACTGGATGTACGTTGTTCCGCCGTAGTTCATAGCGCAGTTTATGGCTTTATTTAGCTTTGAACATACGCCTATGAGACTCACAGTAATTCTTCAATCACCTACTGCTTCATGTTTAGTTTCTCTGCTTTACAGTAATAAAGCTTGGATTCGCAGGAACATCATAACGCGTCTCTGCTTAAACAGAAACAAATATTAGCACAAGCTGGTCACAAGAAAACACGACAATTCTGCATTTGCTTCTAATGTATATTCGTAAAAAATCTACGACGTTAAAGTCTCAACAACAGAGTACCTCAAATGGACTGTATCTGACAGTTGCATGAAACTACATGAGATCTCAGGGACGACGGTCCGATTGACTCGGCATCAGGAATTTGTAAATTTTAGAATTTGTAAATGCAATTTGATCCTACCTCTCTTGTTCTGTACTACTGTGAAGTAGGTGCTGCGATAAATCGTAGTTCTATGGAACAGCGAAGGACAGACCATCAATCGGCGAGGTAGCTCAAAGTACCCTACAACGCTGTCTAAAGAATTTCGACTTGACGAACGACAGTGTGCTGTTTGCAAGTGACCTACTGATACTTCCTTAGAGCGCGTGCAGCATGACTTTCACAGTGTCACAGGGCGATTGGAAGACAACTAAATAGACGGTGTTTATGAGACCAGAAACTGGAGGATATTATGAAATATCATGGCGATGGAGAAACAGACCATTGAAACGATCAGTAACGCATAAGTTTACTGCATTGAATATTAGTACAGTAATACTGTGATTTTCGTATGTATAATAATATAATTCTCCACTTATGTTTTCGCTGGCGTATATTTCACCACATTGTACTGAAAACATGCCTTGTTGATGACAGTCTTAAGTTATTAAACATGAATCTTGATGGCAACTTACGTACCTTCTGTAAAGTAGCCACATTTATGATCTCATGAACAGTCAGAAACGTTGGCGGTCCTAAGAGATCGTTAAGCCTTTTCAACAGCCTTGAACAAGGATGTTTGCAAAGCGCTGACAAAATGCAAAGGTAGTACGGATTCACGAACAAGCAGGTGCTAACAACCAGTCGTTTGAGAAATCTGCCAAAACAGTGCAGAGTTGTAAGCTCCTTGTGACCTTCGATAAAATATCCTCTATAAAGCGATGTTGTAAGAGGATACAAAATGATGCTTGCTAGGTTTGTAGCGCTGGAATCGCCCACGGACTACGGAAAGAAACAAAACTCTTGCAGTATAGGCTGTCGCTGAATAATTTCTAACTGAGGTATCAGTTCAATGATCAGTCGCTACAAATCTTCACCACTATGTTCTTAAACTTTACTCAGCCTTCCAGCACTATCACCCCTACATTGTCAATATCAGTCATTGAAAAATGAAACGCCAAAGATGTGTGCAAATAAATAGTGAATGGCAGGAAATAGAATTCGAGAAATGTTTCATTAACAATCCAGGAAGCGATGCATGCATGTTTCTAATACCTCGATCTCAATTTTCCTATTCGTTAAATCTCAGGTTACATAAGGAACGAAGAATCTGCAAAAATGAGACAATATTTACAATAAATTACATTTATTTGATTAATTTGCAAAATGCTGATTTAAAATGTTCGAGGAACCGAAGTTTTGCTTCTGTGATCCAGCTCCCACATGATTTTCAAAATTTTACATCAATCGAGACTTAAACTTCGAACAAATGCGTCTCTGTTTCATGAGAGCTTATATACATACGTATGACTCAGACCAAATATCCTGAGTAAAGAGTACATGCAGACACCTCAGTAAATATAAATATGCGAACTTGATACATTGCTTTTGTCGATCTATTGGAGAAACATCATGTTTTTGTATTAAAACCCTTGAAACAGCTGCCTCCGTTAGTCGCTTAGTCCAACGTAGACCTGTTTTCCGCCGTTCTGTCAAACCAGCTACAAAACAAGCAAATACGTCTGTATCCTATTACATGTCCTCCCAGATTTCGTTGATCACTTGTCGAAATCGGCTTCTTTTGATGCTTCTGGGTTTTGCTCTATAAGTTAGCATAAGTCAGGTGGATAGTTCTTAACTTCAGGCAGTAACGGGATTCATTACGAATGACACTATTAGTGCAAACCTCCCTGTAAATTCAACGCGGTTTCATGTCACAAATAGAAAACAGCCAATAAAGTAAGGAATAGGGCATTGTGCTTATTCCATCACTCTGGCAGCATTCATGAAAATTCATAACGGGCATTAAATAATCAGTTAGAGAAAGCAAGCGTTAGCCAGCGGATAACAGTTTTTAAGCTATGCAGCTATACTGGAAAAGCTAGTAGCCGTTAAGTTGCTGTGATTACAACCCAGCCCAAAAATTCATGTTTCATGTTCAGTCTTGAAGATGGTTTAACAAGTTTTATGCCTCTATTTTTTCGACTATGACTATATCTGAAAATTACATCTGAACTTTGACTCAGATATGCATACAACTCCATATTCATACTCTTTTGTTTAAAATTCAACATGGGGACGAAGAAAAATGAGACAAGAGCTTGTAACTGTTGGAACTTTCATCTTTCTCACACTTTCATGATTTGGTCTTGTCCGGTGCCCTTCTTTCTACGGAATGAATGGTGGGACGCTAATATTCAACAATTCATTGTTCGATCGTTACTTATGGAACGGTATTGGATTCTGTGGTGGATTGATCTAGAGACTCGCTCTTGACAATCCACATCTGTTAGCATCTAGAGATAGTCAGTGAATCCATTAGCCAATAAACCTGTCACTTAGGCAAATGTAACGAAACTGAACATTTCCCGAGTGTAGAAAAATTCTGGATAGACGTC